ATTATTTTAGCCTATAAGTGTGTGCTCTTTCCTGAAGTGATCCAAAATGTACAAAATAATTACTTTTTTTCTGAATTTCTGCATCAGATGGGCTTAAATATATACCTTTAATATATAGCTTTAGGTATTTAAACAAAAAAATCAAATCATGTGGAGTAACATTTTGAAATGACTAACTATACAAGTTATATATAATATAATATAAAATATTAAAACAGAAATAAATGTAAGAAAACTACTTAATTAAACATTAATAAAATATATAAGACAAAAGAAAACATGTAAAGAAAGGCGACTATAAAAGCACAGTTTGAACAAGATATAAAACAATTCAAGTGAAACCAGTTCAGACAGGTTGAATAACGTAAATTACTCTTAATTATTAGTTATGAGAAACCCTGAAACACTTAAACTGTACATTTGGCATATCGTTTACATACTAACTACCTGCTCAATGTTTTAATGACAATATAACTTATCTAAACTGACTAAAACTGTTCATAGAAACACATGAAAGATCAAACTTAAGAAACACGGTCGCGCATGTATATATGTGTGTGTCTGTGTGTCTTTAATTTGAACCCAGAAAACACAAACGCGACTTGAAATGAAAATATCATGAATGAAACGAAATATTTTACAACACATATCCAAGTGTGGCGCGAAAATAAAAAGTAAAAACCGACTGTTTATAACGGCGTTAGCAAGTTTTGCCGCGTTGTAGTTTAAATGAATGATGCGCCGCTCAGAGACAAAGTAAACATCGTCATTCAACCTACAAAACTCAGAAATTCCCCGACACAAAGTACATATAAGCTTATCTTTTATCTCGTTTTTGTCACAAAAGTTACTGACCTTAGTTGAAGAAAACAAATCCAAATGTCAGGAGTAGTTGGCGATGTCGACTTCGTCTCTGCTCTTCTCTGTTCACTGCCACAGTCGAGGAGGCGAGACGGAGTTTTAGGCGGTTACAGCGCCAAAGGCGGCAGTGGCTGAAGTGCGCATTACATCCGTAGTGGTTTAGCACTACCATAGAGAATGAATGGGAAACAGTTTAGGGCCGTTTAGCTAAACAATTCTCGCCCTCCCGGCCAATGCATTGTTCTTTATAAACCACAGCAAATACTGTCACACTCTATTCTTCTGCAGCTCATAAAAGTGGTACTCCACCCTAAAACGTGTTTTTTGAGCTGTGAACTGAATTGTATGACTGTTTTTATACTGTGATGAAACACGTCAATGCTGGTATTTAAACTAACATTATTACCAAATTTATAACAATATGCATTTTTGTGGATCTACCATTGTGAATCACCCTTTACGTTTTGCTGACATAGAGTCGCACCAAACAGTCGACTCTATCGCAGCAATTTAGTAAAACATTTATATTAAAAAACAGTGTTAACGCCCTTTAACCAGGAGGGCATCCTGCATGCCAGCATACAGACAAAAGCTGAAGTAAGAGAAGGTGACACAGACAGTGGTTCAAGTATGGTGCAGGGAGGCAGTTGTTTCGCCTGCACAGACTGGCAGGTTTTTACTTAAGACCACTCCCTCAAGCAGTCTGTCACTACAGTAACATTTTATATCCAATACTGTGAGAATGTTGTCACGACCCGGCTCTTAAATCATGACAAATATGGGAGATACACATAAGTGCCTTTTAAACCACATTACATTTATGGTTACCTTCCACTGTATATTACTAACTTGCCTGGGTATGTGGTACTCATCATACGAGGTTGAATAAATAATATTTGCAATACAGGATTTGATATAGATTCCTGTTGTGTCTATATACAGACTACTGGTCTACTCTTGCATAGCTTCAGCAGTTTATTTCATACAGCTAATTGGCTTTTTCATCTTATCCTGTTTGCTCTGAAATCGGCAGCCCTCGAGAGTCTGCCCACCCATAACGCCACTAGCTGTCCCCAGGGTGAAAGGTTTCACAAGCTGGCCGTTTTTGCCTAGCCAAACGAACAAGCTACACCTTACAGGATAAAAAACCTCCTATGATCACAAACACCAGAATGCTAGATCCAAATCGGTTGCATTCCCAAAATCGCCTACATACAGCCCGAGAAGTAAACTTTAATTGGGGGAATTCAGCTTTACATTCTATATTGTGCGAAGAAAATCCCTGCAGGGCAAGCCATAAACACAAATTCGTACCAACTCTAATAGATGAGTCCTGCTCGCTACCCTGCGTCAACTCCATCCTTGATCATACTTGGGAGAGAGCCCAATGTGTGGCGGAGTCAACATAGCACCTAAGCGATTGCCATCGTCCGGATGTTAGACACCTTCTCGATGAGGAGAAGAGAAAGGCGGGGTGGCGTAATGCTAGCCAAGTCTGCCCTATTGCTGTGTTTATACAGGGAATACGGGGAATGGGTGCGGCAAACAGCAACCAGTCTCTATTTCACCTGGACTAATCTCCAGGGCGAGACCCAGCACAACTGGGGGCCATCAAGATTGAGGAGAAAGGTCTGTGTGCATGTATTTTTGTATGAACGAATGGGGGGAAGATTATAATGTGTGGAAAATTACCCGCTGTACACTTGCTCAGGCAAAAGCAGACAGCAAAGCAACAAATGCTGGTGAATATGGGAGTGGACATTAGCAGGTAAAGCTGGATGTTTTTTAAAAGAGCTAAAGAGGGAACGAGAACACTGGATTTGGAGCTGCAATATGGCTAATTTTTGTGAGCTAGTTACAATTGGCGCGTACGAGTCTGTGTGAGCCTAAACCTGCCCGAATTAACCCCCGAGCTCAACACCTTACCCATGCCTTCTCTGTCCCCCCGCACGCGCCTGACGCCTGGACAGAACAAAACCTCGACCCAACACCACTCCGTT